GTATTAATTACGAAGTATATTAAGAATCCTTATAATATAAGTATCGAAAATATCGTTCATCGCCAGATATTTCTTATCGACCAGATATTTATGTGATTTTTATCATCTATAGACATGTATATAGAAATAGTAAAACTTTCTACAGATCGAGATTTATACAAGGTTTAAGTCATCTAGGACAGAAGAAGCCGTACGAATGAAAATCTTTGTGACAACTGCACTCCAAAAATTTTTGAATTTTCAAGTTGATGTTCTTCTAGTCCTGAAAATCATTGTCGCCGGATCGACAGCAATATTTCAGTTACTAGAAAGGAGAGAGTAGGAAACATCAGATATAAAATTCTAGTTTCAAAGATTTATTATTTTTCGACAGATATTAATAAAAATGTCTGTACAATATAGTCGAAACGTATACATTTCTGCACAATGTGTCGGTTAGGAAGTTGTAATGAATACAAACAATGCGACAAAATAAAACTAGTGTTCACTTGTAACATTTGTAACACAAACAATAACAATTTTGTAATACACAATATAAAAGCGAATATTAAACGTAAATTATTTGCACAAAGTAATTATTAATATCTATTTATAATTAATATTTATTTATACTAATTATAATATTATTTATTTTCCATGTTGCTCCATGAAATTCAGAATTTTATTGTATACCAAAGACTTTACATCATTTCCCCACAGGAAATCAAGGTGTGCGAAATTGTTGGATTCTATCAAAGATTTCTGACCATTGGGTAGTTTCTCGTACAATTCCTGAATGTCCTGTAAAATAATTGACAGGGAAGAAAATATTGAAAATATTGAAAAATTCGAGATCCATTGAAGGTTCGCTATATCAACGCTATACAAACCTGAGGAGTGGCAATTATATCATTGCTCCCATAATACAAATCCACTGGTATCGAGACATTACCAAGATTATAATCCGGAGGTTGTTCCTGGCCATATTTTTTCATGTTACCGGCAGCGCCGTAATCAAATTTCCGAAACTTGCCTGCAAAAAAAAGGAAACACATCATGAGATAAACTTTATAAAATTCTATTCACCTGTATGCTTGATTACTGATCAATTATCAACCTGATTGGATCGACTGTCCATAATGTGCAAATTGTTTAACAGATGCGCCAGCAGGACCGTATTGGAAATAGATAAGCATCGCACTCTATGAATTCAAATCAAGTTCAGTTGAAAATTAGAGCGTGTGAGTATTAATTAATAATGCACTATTATTTGCGATTGATTACCGTATTAAGATTTCGGTCGTCGCTACCTAATAGATCAAAAAAGCCTTTACACAATGTCAATAGAGGTGATTGTTGATGACATGCCACTTTTCCAAACGTGTGTACAAGGGTGTCGGATGGTTTAACTTGGTATATGCCCAGTAAATTCAATATCGACTACAAAAAGATTAAAAGAAACAAAAATGTTTTGCTTGATATCAAAATTGGCAATTTTATTTCATTAGTTGCTTCGGAAATTAATAATATCGTAAAATTGGTACATTTTCGTAATTAATAACTTTAATAATTACTAATATTATTAAATTTAGATTTCAAAACGTACGGTGTCATTGGCAGCTATAAGGCACAACACTTGGAAAAGAGAAGTTCCTGTTCTGGACATGAAGACTGCTGGAGCTAAAGCAGAAAGTGCAATTACTTTCTCTTGATACTCTGGTCGTTCGCTAGCCATCACGAAGAACGCGGTACCACCCTGGTGCGTTATCACCATAAAGATCTTCTCCTGCTTTGTTTGCTCTATAATATGATCGATCATCGCTGGAAACTCGTATATTCCGATTTCATGCCAACTGTACGAACGGATCAGATACTGTCAGAATAAAATGTCTTGATTTCTGGGCATAAATCTTGATGAATAATTATTCCGACTATACCTGAACATCCAAAAATTTGGGTCTGAGGTGGTCAAGTTCAAATTTTCCCGCGAATATCTGTTGCCGCGTACATTGCCGAGCCACACGTCGTATCCCTGGTCTGCTAATATAAAGCCTAAAATTCCATCCTTTATTCTCTCGTTTCTTATCGAATTCAGCGGCGTCAAGTAGAAGAAGAAAATAGCATACTAATTCAATGAAACGGAATTATGTTTGACAAGAGCAGTGAATAGATGTAGCATATATTCCAGAACAAAAAATTGAAAAGAAAATGTCTAATTAGTAATTCATATTAATAATTACTGTATGCATACTGACGAATACGAACTTTAAACTTTCTTTTGTCCAACAGTACAGATTCTTTTTAAAAAGGAAAAAGAAAGAAATGGTTTATTTGACGATACCTAAACCGAATTCAGGACCTATAGCAAGCCACGTAGGCGAGGCATCTAAAAGTCCATGAACAAGTAATACAGGTGTTTTATTATCAGACGGAGGACTTTTCGTCGATCCTGTGATCCTATCCACTCGCAAAATATAATCGTCCTGTGTGACAACTTCATAACTTTCGGCTGCGTATCCCGCTTTCTGCGCAATCTCTGTCTGTAAATTGTTCACACTTACTTCGTTGTAGATGGAAGTTATATTTACAGTTTCACACGTTAGTTATACATGACTTTGATTGTCTGAAAATTAATATAAAACAATACAAATGCGATAATAGACAAATTAAATTAATTAAAAAATTAGATTTATTATACAAGGTGTTTATACTGCTAATTCTATATGAATAATGCACACGCAATTTTTGTCTAAAAAATTATAGAACATGCTTGCGAATAGTCAGAAAATGATAACGAATAAAATTACCAATAAAATTTACTTACTGCAGTTATAACTTCTTCGTCAAAGAATATTTCAGTAATTTCGTTTGCCTCGCATTGCTCTTTAAAGAATACGCCTATAATTACTGGCAACATGCAACACAAATTTTTTTTTTTGAACATTGTCGTAGATGATTCGTAACTACGAGTTGCCTCGTATCCTTATATACCTTTGCGTTATATAAGCTTATCGCATAAATTGCAATAATAACCTACTTAAGTACAGAAATATTACGTATTTTCTCTTGTCCTTGGTATGATAATACAAACGGTTCAGAAAATTAAAGAGAAAGTATTTCTTTTT